CCCCAGTGTTTGGGTCCTGATCATGTATCTTTTCCATATCACTGTACTCTGCTAGTGCCCATACTCCTTGCAGAAAGGAAAAAATGACTGCAAAATTTTGTCCCTAGCAAAACTAGTCATATGAGATGTATGAGACTGAAACTTACCTCCCGGTATCAAGTCCTTCCAGGAACACTGGTGTCCAAGATATTGCCAATGGATGAACTGTCGATGAACAGCAGACCTGACAAGTAACCGGGGCTTCCTCGCTCTGTTCAGGCTGCACCTTCCTACTGATTGCTGCAGTTCTGTGCCTCTCTTTCCCCAGGCTTTCTATCCAAGCATTAGAGGCTGTGCTTTTCAGAGCTGGGAATGAGAGACTGGGGAGAGCGCTCAGGGAGCAGAGAACACAGAGTCTGCTTGAAAACCCCAAGACTCACCATGAGGGAGTGTGTCTGCTGGTGAGGTAAGAGATCTAGGAGGCATGATTTTAGTCTTGGGAATCAGTAGCAAATAGAGTGGCTGAGAGAGAACCTCCCGGTTATAGCTTTGTGGGGGTGCCCTGGGTGGAAACACACAATTCCCATTCTTAGATATCAGTGCTGTATGCTCAGAGCAGCTGAGTTTTTGAAGTGTGCAATCTACCCCATAAGTGATTTATTTTGTCTTCCAGTGTTCTGCTAAGAGCTGAACTAATAACACCTGAGATCTTACAGAGCCTCCTCCCCTGGGTGAATTCCCCAACAGAAAACCTCCGAGTCACCAGCACAGCTTTCCTTGCCCAGGTAAGACACAGGGTTCTGAAGAGCGGTTTCACCATTAGACTGTTGTCTCATGTTTGCCTTTCTTTCGGGAGTTGTACAGTTCAGTTCATAGGAGTAATTGTCATTTTAGACAGTAGAATGGGTCCTGCTTTATATGGAAACTTCACAAGGAATTTCATTACACCTTTCTGAGTCATTCTCTCTCTGATATTTTTATTGCTGTCATTGCCTATGCCAGCTACACAACCATTGGTGCTGGCTGAGAGAGACAGACAGAGTTTGAATTCCTGGACCTCTTCTGCTAAGTCCTAGTGCTGATACTAACCAACAGCTCCTAATTCTGGTTTAGCTCAGCAGATCTTCTGAATGAACCTAGTGTCCTAATACTATAAAACAAGCAACATACAAATACATTCACATCTATCTTAGGTTCTCTTACTGTAGTATCTGAGTACCTGAAAACTCTTTAATGTCTGCATCCCCACAACACTCCTGGGAGGTAGGGAAGCACGATGATTCCTATTTTACAGGCAGGAAGCTGATGC